CTTCACTAATATAAATTTTAAGGTTTTAATTATCAAAGAAATAGTATACGATTAAGCTTTATTTTTAAATGAAAACTAATTTAATACAAATAAAATATTCTACTATAATTATAATAATAATTATTGTTACTATTTTTAATTAACACAACAATTGTGTTTTGGCTATGGACCCCCGGAAATATTACATGGACCCCTAGGGTCCATGTAGACCCCGGTTGAGAACCACTGATCTAGACAGTTGAATATATGGAATATTTTTCTTAAATAATTATTTTTATATAAGTCTAATAATAGTCTTTAAGTTTTTTGAATTTGTAAAATGTAGAATTTCCATCATTATTTTTGACGTGTTAACAGGGTGCGATTGGTAAATTGTGGCCATTTTATATTTTTAATTTCGCGCATGCGCGTTGTTTGTTTTTGATTTTCTCGACTGCACAGCATAATAGGGTCAGTTGGGCACCATCTGTGACAAAAAGAGCACCATGACGCAATTCCGCCAGAAATTTGAAAACAGCATGCTTGGCTTCGAAGCCGGAAGCTTCAATTCGAACATTTAAGGGTGTTAATCTGAGGATACTGCAGAGGATTTGAAAAGAGTTGGATGAGTGTAATCATGATTACGAAGGTGTTTGAAATGATCACTAGAGATAGCGACGTTATACCTCCATTCATCCTCTCACATGGCCTCAGATTCAACACAGAGTACCTTGAGGAGGTAGTGCTGCCCTGGGTAAAGAAAGTTGGCTACTAGAAGAGCCTATGTCTGGCAACAAGACTTTGTACCATGTCACACAAGCAGGAGAACCCAGTCACGGCCGTCGGACAATTTCTGCAACCACATCACTGCAACCCTCTTGATTATTATGTGTGGGACACAGTTGAGTGGGAAACCAACAAATCTCATTGTAAAACTAAACATGAACTGAAGGAAAGGATTATGGCTGCACTCACCAACTTAAACAAGGGGACTCTCCAGATGAGTTGCAGGAGATTCCGAAGTTATCTGGAGGCCGTTTTTGAAACCAATGGCGATTTTATTGAATAAACTTGCTCTTTACTATTTCAAGACATTTTTGTGAAATTTTGGTAAATATATCTGTTAAAATGAGATGATAGCATTATTTTCATTTTTGCATAATTTAGACGACAATTTATCTATCGCACCCTGTGTATCTTATCTTAATTTTACTACTTGTTTGCATCAAGTCTTAGCAATATATATATATATATATATATATATATATATATATATATATATATATATATATATATATATATATTTTTATGTACCGTATCCTTTCAGAATTTGGGTGTTCATGGCTCTCCTCAAAGATATTTGTTTTTGCAAAATAATAGTACTGGTAATAATAACCGTTTCCTTATAAAGAAACATTTGGGTTTCATTGACCTAACCGCCAGTGCTAATTATCGGTTGAAATTTATAAAATCTTTATTTTAAAACAATATTTCAGGAAAATAAATTTCTCAAATCCAATAGCTGTTATCGCTCTTTCCATTATTGATGGAGGTTTCCTTCCTAGCCTTTTATTTGAAGTAGTATGGAGTATCAACTTCTTGGTTATGTCATTATTTTCTCTTCAGTAACATTATTTTACGTGTTTCATTATTTCATGCAACAATTTAAAACCTTTAATTCGAGCCAATGTTAGACGTATGTTCAAATCTCTGAAAGGTCGAACCATTTCTTATTCTTGTTGATTTTAACGTTACATTTCAGTGAAACAACTTCTTCCACTGTTTGGCATTCATTGACTGAGCAGCCACTGCTATTGTCAGTTGTTGAAACAATTTTTCATGGAAATAGATTTCTCAAATCCAGTAACTGTTATCGCTCTTTCCAGTATTGCTGGAGGTTTCCTTCCTAGCCTACTTGAAGTAGCCTGGAATATCAACATCTTGATTATGTCATTATTTTCTCTCCGAGTTACATGCGCTATCCATTTTAGTTGTTGCTGCTGTTGGAAGCTTTCAAGTTATGTGGTTTCTGTTGTTACAATTCTTTGTGATTATGTAACACCAGTCCACAAGGTTTAAAAAAGCGTCGTCTTCGTCAAGGCTTCACTCGCTCAAGGCCATTTTTATAGATCGATGTTATGAAACGCTTATATACAACTGACAGTTTAGATATTTCTGAAAGGATTTAGCCAAATACCCGACATTCATATGAAAGTCTTAATCTGACGAGGCTATTTAAGAATATGACTCGATTTTCAAGTTGAAGTTTTGTAACAGTTTACGAGGTTGAGAGAAACTCTAGCGTAACATTCAAGTAATCTAATTATGAAAAAAAAAACGATTAAAATTTTTGGAAGTCCTTCACATCAAAGTAGGGCAATATGATTTGCTTCAAGCTGCAACTTGCGTCTTTGCCTTTGAACTGCGTTGCTAAAATCTACTCCCAGGTCAAATTATGCGAACGCACCTTCATTTCAAACTTTAGAAAATTGTCTAACGCTAAACTAGTTATTTGCGTATTTTCTACGTTCTTTCCTTGAAAACAACCAACTATTGTCGAAATTGGTTGGAACATTAGAAAATAACATCGGCAAAATATGAAACGACTTATTCGACACCAGGGAAAACCAGACGGTATTATAAATATTCACTGCCCGATATATTGAGTAAAACATGTCTATTCTGTTCAATAAAACATATCTGTTCAATAAAACATGTCCGTTCAATAATACATATCCGTTCTGCTCAATAAAACATGTCAGTTGTGTTCAATGAAACATATCTGTTCAATGATACATATCCGTTCAATAAAACATTCTGTTCTGTTCTATAAAGCATGTCCGTTCAATAAAACATGTCCATTCAATAATACATGTGCATTCTGCCCAATGAAATTATGTTAGTTGTGTTCAATGAAACATGTTTGTTCTGTTATATAAAACATGTCTGTTCTGTTCAATAAAACATGTTTTTTCTGTTCAATAAAACATGTCTGTTCTGCTCAATAAAACATGTTCGTTCAATAAAAATATCTGTCCAATGAAACATGTCTGTTCTGGTCAATATATTATATTCATATAATTATATTCATATAATTATATTCATATATTATATTAATTAAAACGTACGTGAATTTCTTAAAAAATTTATAATCATCACTATTAAAAAAGAGTATCCATAAAAACGTCAAGGTTTTCCTATATGAATTTTCTGATGAATCACAATTCTTAAATTAAGGATTGAATAAGCGCCTTTCAAATTCCATGAGTGTGAAATACCCGTCCAAATTTCCCGCTAGCACCGTTAAATATTAATAACTTAAAAGATTCAACAAAATATTGGTATAACAATGAAAAAATATGAAAGCGGGTCATTATTTAAAAGTCAAAAGATAACGTTTGCCATTTCACTGAAGCAGACGTTACACGCATGAGCGCATTAGCGTCTCCAGTATCTCTCTCTCTCTCTGTCACACACTCTTTCTCTATCTGTCTCTCTCTCAGTCTCTATCTTTCACTCTCTCTCTCAATCTCTCTGTTTCACCACCTATCTCTCTTTCACTCTCTCACTCTCAATCTTCTTCTCTCTTTCTTTACTTGTTTCTTTTTTTTTAATTCATGTTGTTTTTCAAACTTAAACAAAACAGCGTCTCTGATATATTTTAAAATCATTACATACCAAGCAAGGCAATAATGCCACTAAGGCACAAGGGGGTGTAAGAGAATCAGAAAACATTAGTGAGGAAAGAGTATACTAAAAGAACAGGGTTCGGGAAGACAGAAGATTACGATTGGCACATTGCATTTCAATTTTTGAAGATTGTAGGTGGCAAAGAAGCAAAAAAAAAGCGTAAGAGAAATCCATAGGCGAGGGGTTCGTGAAAATAAACCAACACACACACACACACACACACACACACACACACACACACACACACACACACACACATATATATATATATATATATATATATATATATATATATATATATATTTATATATATGTATGTATGTATGTATATATTAGCAACTTGTAACTAGTAGGGATAATTGCAAGGAAGATATTAATCCAGAGAGAGCTCAATGTAAACTACAGAGCATTATAATAATAATAAATAAAGAAGAAAGCCTAAATATCCATTTCAGTTTATTATATATATATATATATATATATATATATATATATATATATATATACATACAGTTTATATAGATAAAGAGAGTATTGACATAGGATCAATGCTGGTCTCTCTCTCTCTCTCTCTCTCTTCTATATATATATATATATATATATATATATATATTACTGTTTATATATTAAACAGTATATATATATATATATATATATATATATATATATATATAAAAAAAGATAAAAGGCTTCGTCAGGTGGTTTTATTTGTCCTATTTGAAATTGGGCACTTTTTTAAGTTGTAGATTTTAACAGATATTTAATGTTTATTTCAGTCTCTCTCCCCCTCTCTCTCTCTTTCTCTGTCTCCTTCTCTCTCTCTCTCTCTCTCTCTATCTATCTATCTATCTATCTCTCTCTCTATATATATATATATATAAATATATATATAAACAGTATTGACATAGCAATCAGTCCTGCTTTGTTGATTCCTATGCATCCACTGAGCATATAAACGCCCTGTCACTTTGAGCATTCTCTCTAATAAATATGAAAAAAACCAGAAGAGAGTATCAAACGTGACAAATACGAGAAAAGAAACTATTAGAACCGAATTTACAGTTACATCTAGCAAAAGTAAAACGATGAGACCTAATCGCCAATCTAGTAATACACTTGAATTCATGCGATCGAGTTATTAAGAAGGATAGCGCATTAAAAAAGACAAAGAGAAGCCGTAACACGTCAATAGGAAAATAGAAGTAGACATACGAGGTCAGGACCTATAACATTACAGACTCTTCTTTGGATTTTGCCGAGAATCTTGAATTATATAGCCGAAGTACCATAAAGGAATGTTACACTGAAATTGTTATTTGTTCCACAAAAATATGCTGTTCGCGCCCAGAGAATTCTTTCTGGGACTTTTCCGAACCGCCATTTTTTCTTCGTGACGTTGATCCGCTTCTCTCCAGAACCAATCCCTGGACAGGGATTGACCTTACATTTTCCAGACAACTTACAATCGCTTCTCTGCAGTTATTTTTTAAAAAATATTGTTCAACTGATACAAACCCCAAGAACCACTCAGTATAGAGGAATAACGCCAGGCGCAGGGGAGGAGGAAGAAGGGTATCCATTATTTACATTATTCGGTCTATTGTCCTCATCTTTGTCGCCATATTTATTACAACGTTTCGGCCTTCTTCAAGTGGTTGGAATGTCGAACTGAACCCTTTATTTCGCTCACTGGGGTAGACTGTTCTAGTTCCACGTGCCATGTCTAATGGATGTCAGTTGTCAGTTATCTACTGTTAATTTCGCTCTGAAATTTCTCCACTGCTTTAACCCGGTATTGAAGTCACACCCTTGTGGTCCTGTCACTGGATCTAACCAACGCCTTTATCCACTGTGTCATGTGTCCTCAAGGACACATAAAGGCGTTAGTTAGATCCCGTGACAGGACCTAAAGAGTGTGACTTTCGTTATCTTCTGTCTTCTTAATTCCTCTTCTTTTATTGTTTATTGTTTCTTACTAGCGTTTTTCTCACGTATTCTCTCACACTCAGTATCCTCTTGTGGCTTTATTGCCTTACTTGGGGTGAAATGATTAAAAAATCATTTTTATATGCTATTTGGTTTTACAGAAGGATGTTGAGAATACCACGGACTGAATATGTAAGTCATGAGGAATTTTTGAGAAAATGGATACAAAAAGGAAACTTATACCAAGCATCAGAAAGAGACAGATGAAATCTCTATGGAGCCTAATGAGGAAAGAGGGCTTAGAAAATTTGACACTCACATGATATATTGAAGACAAAGGAAAATAATAACAGAGAAATAGATTTAACTAAATTCTGTAAATAAATGGTAGAACAGGTATTAAGAAAGATAGCGAAAAGACAACATTTACTAAGTGCTTCAAAGGAGAGAATATTCGCGCGCGACCCAGCGCAGAAAGAAGGGGAATTTTACTGAAAAATAAGTTTTGTTATTATAATTATAATTCTCTGTGACCTGCGCAAGAAGTGTTTCGAATGAATACTGTAGTTGCAGTAAGAGAGAAAGACGCACTCACACAGAGATAGAGAGACGGTGAAAGGGGAGAGAGATGTGGAGAGAGAGAGAGAGATAAAGAGTGAGGAGTCGAGAGAGAGAATGAATTAGCATTAGTTCTAAAGAGGTCAAAAAGAAAAGTAAGTTAGAGAGATAACAAAACGTAGCGAAGTTTTTACCAGAAAGAAGGGGAATAAAAAAAAAAAAAACCAGCTATAAAAAATGGGACATCATTTGCAAACAATAAACACATTGCAGTCGATGCATCTATTAATAATAGGTGACATACTTACCCGGGAATTTTTGCAAAATTGAGTGTTAATAAACACGGCCATGTTTTTGCTTTTAAGTCAATGACGGTAGTTTTACCCAAGTGCTTACGTCTGCAGTGACGTTTTGCTTTCGATTTTAGATTCATTTTCTAACTACGCCTAAATTATTCGTCTCCTCGCGTCATTGCACGCACATAAACACACAAACATGTTTATGATACAATTTATTTTTCCAGATTGTTAAGCTTAAAATTTTGGACTGTGTATTATACATGAAAACTAAAATATGAGATTTTCCTGACAACCTGTGTCACCATTTTTGGTTATCGTGTAGACGGCATGGCTGGTGCTAATCTTCTACGAGGCCCTTCAGATATACAGATGAAGATGAGCCTCGAAGATTTTTAGTCCTACCGTCGACTTTAAAGAATAGAATATGTGAGAACGAGAAAACTTTCACGAATATCTATCTATCTATCTATCTATCTATCTATGTATCTATCTATCTATCTATCTATCTATCTATCTATCTATCTATGTACATATTTGGATATGTAATATAGATGCATATATATATATATATATATGAAGAAAAATTTGGAAAAAAACAAACAAAAATCCTTAAATGCAATTATGTTGTTTAAAATGAATGAAATGTCGACGTCTGACGTTTCGGTTTAATAAACCTTCTTCAGGAAAATATTCATTAAAATACAATTCAGTTCAATTTGACAAAGACGATGGACATAAAAAACAAGTCTTATCCAAAACAGATAACTGAAAATTTTAAAATGATCAGCTTTCCGTTTAGCATGGTCACGTTGTCGTCACATGGGCGACGCTTTCAAATTTTGTCCTGAAGAAGGTTTATTAAACCGAAACGTCGACATTTCATTCATTTTAAACAACATAATTGCATTTAAGAATTTTTGTTTGTTTTTTTTCAAATTTTTCTTCATTCTGTCGGATCTATATCCATTTACATTTGCTTACATATATATATATATATATATATATATATATATATATATATATGCCTGACGATTGCATCTAGTATGAAACAACCTGTCGCCTCTGAGAACTTCAATGTTCACTATTATTTATACTTATTGAGCACTTTATCCCGTAAATATAGCACACCTTAAAACTATATTTCTTCATTCATATATATATATATATATATATATATATATATATATATATACTTCGAGGAGGTGTAATGATTAGGAAGCTTGTCTCGCTAGAACAATTACGACTGAGTCCTGAGTTCAGTCCTCACTGGGTGCCCCATACTTTCGGCCTTGTGCCACATCTAAGCTACGCTTGGAAACTCAGGGGCACCTCGGCGTTGAGTAATGGTTAGCGAGCTTGCTTTGCTAGCCAATCCCTATTGGAGACGCTTGCTCAGGCACATTTGTGTTTGTTCAACACCCACAGAGTCAATCTGTGGTTTATACTGCAACTATTCTGAGCAGACTTTAGTTACAGTTTCTGGGAGAGAGCGTGTTATCTAGCGTCATCAACAATCTGAACAAGGCCAGCACACTCAAACCCTCAGGCATATATATATATAAATACACACATACAGTTATATATATATATATATATATATATATATAAATAATACACTATATATATATATATATATATATATATATATATATATATATATATATATATATATATATATATATATATATATATATATATATATATATATATATATATATATATATATATATATATATATATATATATATATATTTTCTCGGTGACGAAGAGATGGCAAATTAGACTGCGGTCCGTTGGAACAGTTGTTATGATGTTTGCCTGATAACGTAACTGTCAGGGTTTCAATTCTCGGTAGTGGATGCGCACTGTGATGAGTCCAAATATAGGACGAAACGGCCGTCCAGTGCTTTTTGCATTCTGTTGAGGTTTCTTTCAGACTCGATGAATTAATTAATTATAATTATCTCAAATCTTCTTAATCTCTATCACTTGTATAGATATCCTTGCTTGAACCGGCTTCTAATGCTCTGGAGTGAGCGGCTTGGGGCATAGTAGTCATAGCTCGGGGAGGCACAATCCTATGTGTAAAAGAGAAACTCAGAGAAGTTCCACCACGGAACTTGTGACCGAGCGGTGCTATATCGAGTCTAATTCGTTACCGAGGCCCGTTGGTACAGTTAGTATGGCGTCTGCCTTCTATCGTAACTGTTCGGGTTTCAATTCTCAGTATTAAATGCGCACTTCTGATGAATCCCAAATATAGGACGAAACGGCCGTCCAGTGCATTCTGTTGAGGTTTCTTCTAGACTCGATGAATTACTTAATTTTTTTTTTTATATATATATATATATATATATATATATATATATATGGGGAAGTCTACCAGATTTTAGGTGAAAAAATAAAATCCGAATGTCATGTTCACAAATTATAAACCACACGAAGACATAAAAAGGAAGAAAACCGAGTTAAATATGACAATAACATTTATACACTAGATACATATATATATATATATTATGAAATGGACATAGTCCAACAATTATCTTAAGACATTTTTATGTTTATACATTCTTTTTATAGATACAAATATTTAAGTAAATGCTCTGTTTTATAATAAACGGTATTAAATAACATCTTCCGGCCTGAATGTCCGAGAAATTTTCATAGAAAATATTCGTCCTCCGACAGGAATCGAACCTGTATCCTATACGGAACCGCCTGACGTGCCTTTAACCGTTTCGGCCACAGAGGAGCGTTCGGTTAGCAAGGTCGATTTTACTGTCTTTAAACTTTAATTTTCCATGAATCTCTCCCGTACATTCATATCTGCTCATGGCGTATCCAAATGTAAACAAATGACGTCACACATTATGAAATGGACAAAGTCCGACAATTATTTTAAGACATTTTTATGTTTATACATTCTTTTTATAGATATAAATATTTAAGTAAATGCTCTGTTTTAAAATATTTTTATTATAAAACAGAGCCTTTACTTTTAAGTAAAGGCTCTGTTTTTGTATCTATAAAAAGAATGTATAAACATATAAATGTCTTAATATATATATATATGTATATATACATATTAGAATTCAAATTCTTTGTTGTGGCCATGAAGAGAGCAAGTGTTCGTGCGTTCATAGTGAATTGTTGTGAGTCTGCAAAGTTTGATGTTATTTTCTTGCAATTGAGTCTGCAAAGTTCGAAGGTATTTTTTTGCAAAAGCTAAAAAGCTTTTGTAAATTCTTTAGTTAGTTAAATGTCATACGTGATACACGCTTCAGCGATCATGTCTCTTTGGATTCATCACTAACTAGGCAGAAGGTTTTCCTGTAACAGGTTGTCGGTTTCTTTCTGCGGTAGACTGGTTGCCAAGGTTATACTTTTGAATAAACTGCAAAAGTTCTACAGGGCCTTCTTTCCAAGTATTTATTCCGTCTTTAATAGCAGCAACAACATTAAAATGCCGAAGTCTTTTTATCTCAATGGCAAACGCCTCTTTATCAATGTTGACATTCATATTTATCATCTAAAAGATTCAAGTGTAAAGTTAGCTTGCTTTTTTTTTATACAATAAGGTTTTCCCATTATAACTAAAGAGCTTTTGTAAATTCTTTAGTTAGTTAAATGTCATACCTGATACACGCTTTAGCGATCATGTCTCTTTGGATTCATCACTAACTAGGCAGAAGGTTTTCCTGTAATAGGTTGCCGGCTTGCCGTTTCTTTCTGCGGTGGGCTGGTTGACAACCAAGGCTATAGGATTCAGTCTGTCCTGCTATTTAACCCATATACTGGGGTTGGAAGAAGAGATGGATTGATAAGGCTATATTCTGGATCCTACGCTGCTTCTGATCTTCATCAATGACTTTCCTGATGCCATCAGTTCCCAAGTAGGGAACCATTCACTCCTGTCTCCATAGCAAATCCGTCAGAGCTGATAAACTAGATCTGGCTGCTGCCCTTGAAAAGGACCTTCAGTCAGTAGCAGGAAATGGCTTGTAAATATTACCGTCTCCAAAACAAAACTGCTGCCATTTAACCACCATAGTGAAACGTTTCCCTCTGCTATAAGACTCCTGGAGAATACCACACTGCCTCACTGCCCCTTCTTGGTCTCATGTTTTCAATTGACTTGACGGGTAGCGACTGCATCGTATCAATAGCTACATACAATGCAAGAAAGATTAGGTCATCTACCATCCGCCCGTGTATTGAATACAGCTGCAATATCTGGTTTGATGTTCCTGCTATATATCTCGAGATTCTAGATAAAATCTAAAGAATCTGTAACGTAATCGATTCTGATATGGCATCAAGACTTCAGCCACTTTCTCATCGACGTGGCATGGCTTCTCTGTGTCTTTTCTACAAATATTTTCATGGCAACTGCTCTGACGAACTTTTTTTCCCTGGTACCCCGGTTACATGAATTTAAGCGTGCAACTAAATTTGCTTCTAGGTCCCACCCGTTTACTGTTGAACAAGTTAAATGTAACCGCAACTTCTGCTCCAACAGTTTCTTTTCTCGCACTTCCCGCCTGTGGAACGCCCTCCCGTTTACTCGCCTCCCTGATAGCTACAATTGCCATCCTCTGTCTTCTTGAATCCCGTTTATCTTTTGTCCTTTCCTCAATTCTCCCTATTCTCAGTCTTCTCTTTCACTTTCACTCCCTGTAACTCCCTTGCTTACTAATGGCATTCCCTTTCATCTTTTGTCCTTTCCCCAGTCCTCCCTATTCTGTCCTCTCTTTCTCTTTCACTTCCCTGTAACCCCCTACATTTTAGTGGTATTCCCGCCTTGCTTGGGGTGAAATGATAAAAAAAACTTCACGAGGATATTTGCACGTAATCGAATGTAAAGTATCTTCAGTTTTAATACGGATCTCTGATTTCACATTCTGAGTTGATATCCAAATCCCCACACCGTGCATATGGACTAGATGTTTGCATTAAACATTCCATGGATTAAAATCATTTTGCTTGACAATGCCCTGTTGAAATATAGTTATATCGACTATGGACGGTCACTTTTTATGTCATCAAACAGGCCGAGTTTAACAATGTACAGCATAGAGTATCGTCAGAATGCTAGCAAATTCTTCTTCTTCTTCTTCTTCCCCCTTCTTCTTCTTCTTCTTCTTCTTCTTCTTCTTCTTCTTCTTTCTCCTCCTTCTTCCTCCTCTTCCTCCTCCTATATGCCTCTATTTATACTAATTTATCTTTCAGACATTCATTCAAATTCTGTAAATTCCGTGAGGAATATGTGACCCACAGCCCTCAAGTCCTATAGACTCCCTGAGGAGTATGTGGTCCACAGCCCTCCCGTAGAATCCCTGAGGAGTATTGAAGCCACAGATCTCATGTCCCGTAGACTCCCTGAGGGGTATGGGGCCACAGCCCTCAAGTCCTATAGACTCCCTGTGGGGTATGCAGCCCACAGCGTACAAGTTCTGTAGACTCCCTGAGGAGTATTCGAGCCCCAGATTTCATATCCCGTAGATTCCCTGAGGAGTATGGATCCCGCAGATCTCAGCACACTAGATGTTGCTATTGAGATTTCCATAGCAAGTAGTAAGACTCGATGGGATGGATTTGCTAGTCCCATGAATGTTTTGAAGTTGTCTTTCCCCTAGACTGCTTATAATCTGCTTAAAGTCTGCTTTACAATTTAATCCAAGTTTAGGACAGAAAAGACGAATTCATACCCTTCACAGACTGGAATTCGAACATGGCTCTAGGATTTCTCATTCCGAAGTGCTATCCATTACTCCAGCTGCACATTCCGGTATTGTAAAGCTCACATTCTTTGCGTAGGAACTGAATTTTGTCGCTACTCTCTGTATATAAGAATAATGTGACGACACCGAAGGACATGGTGAAAACTATGGTTTACAGTATACTGTTGTCTTATTAGTATTTATAATTTGCATCGTGTAATTTATCGAGAGATAAAAAATTATTTAGCACAAGGGCGATCACCTTATGCAACTAGCGAAAGCAATACGCATATTAGCCCAGATTTTTCTGTTATATATATATATATATATATATATATATATATATAATATAAAGAGAAAATGAATTAGAGCTTGTCTTTTTAAAAACATCAGACAGAGTAGGCTTATTAGTTTGAAAAAGAGACAGGGAAGGCAATTGGATCATTTGACTGTTATTATTAAGCAATTAGAATAAAAAATGTCTGGTATGTTGTGGATCAAGACGAAACATGTTTTAATCATTTTCCTTCTTTTTTTTGTTTTATTAAATAAAGGAATGAGTACAAGAAGGACAAAATACAGGTTATAAAGGTCAAATGAAAAAAGACAAGATGGTTTGGGAGACAATGTTCTCCCATTTTTTAAGGGACAAGAGAGAGAGGGAAAGAGACAGACACAGAGAGGCAGAGAAAGAGGGCGTGAGATAAAAGTTGGTAGACGAAGGATCAAGTTAAACTTTATAATTATTAAATTATTATTTTTTTCTTTTATTTGATTTCTGGCGTTTACACATTTCTTTCCAGGGAGATAAGGTTAGAAATGGCATCATGACACTTACCACTGACAAAAAAAAAAAAAAAATTACATAGATAAAGCCCTTCATAAAGTGTGGGCTTTACTTGTCAGAACAATTATTTTGTATCTCTTTGAGGCATGGACTTCCGGGAATCCCTTCAATTAGTCTACTGGAATCTTTTCCAACCAATCCGAGGGCTCCAACTACAACGGGCATTGGTGATGTTCCCATGTGCAACATTTTTAAGATTTCTATTTCAAGGTCCTTGTATTTTGACATTTTTTTGAATATCTTCAAAGATACATTGCAGTCAGCAGGGACTGCCATATCAATAAGGAGCCCCTTTTTGTTATTGTTATTGTTATTATTATTATTATTATTATTATTATTTCCGTTGATCTTTGTTATATACTCAAACAAGCAGCATGGCTCGGCGTTGTCCGTGCTTGATTTAAAAATCGTACGATTCAGACAGCAATCGCTATCACTTGACTTAAAATATTTTTGCCCTTCCTTGCCTTTTAAAGGGTGCCCTTTTGCCGTGCTGATGTTGCTACATGCCTTACTTCTTGCCTATCTCACACTGTGAATTTTTTCGAAGCTCTATACTAAACATTAAATCTGTTACGAAAAAAGAACTAAACAAAATGAACACAAAACGATCAGCTTTAAATTAGGACTCGTAACTGGAAAACCGAATGAAAAAAGAATAATAATTTTTCACATCCAACCCAGTTTTGCTAGTTAACATTCGTGTCAGTCAGCTGTTGGCTCTCACGCTGGTCAGTAGAATCTTCCTGCCTATTCGTGGCAGCCAGCTATAGGCTCTCACTCTGGCCAGTACAAAATGGCCGCAAACTACATGAAAACTACCGTAAAAGCATGAAAAAATCGATTATTTCCACTATCGATGGGAATTGGGAAATGCTTAGTCGGTCTTGGGCTTCCCGCTAACTTGGAGCATGTGCATGCAAATTTTGGTGCAAATCCGTCGAAAATTGCGGCCGTGACTTTTACACACACACACACACACACACACACACACACACACACACACACACACACATCTTTTTTATAGATAGAGATCTATAAATCAACCATCCATCCTTGCATGGAATATTGATGTCATATATGGTCTGATGTTCCTGTACGTCTCGAGGTCCTTGACAAAATCCAGAGACGAATATGCAAGATGATAGGTCATAATCTGGCATCTTGTCTACAATCGCTATGCTACAGACGTGCTGTGGCCTCCCTCTGTCTCTTCTACAAATATTTTCGCAACAACTGTTCCGACGAGCTACTTTCGCTGGTTCCCGGACTTCATGAATTTAAACGAGCTACTAGGCTGGCACCTCGGTCTCACCCTTTCACTGTCAAAATGGTTAAATGTAACCGTCTTTTCTTCTCAAACAGCTTCTTCACCTGCACTTCCCATCTGTGAAACTCCTTTCCCCTTACTTGCTTCCCCGATGACTATAATCTTCAAATATTCAAGTGTAATGTCAGTCAACATTTGGTACCTTGAGCTTCTTCCCTGTTCTTCTTTGTATCCTTTCCTCAGGTATGCCTCTTTACTAATGGCACTCACAGAGAGTAATTTTAAGTGCCTAATCACTAAGTTCCTTCTGGGGTCTATGAGTAAAAATGGCACTACAGGAGAGTTATCTATGGACATTTTGGACGTTTCGTATATATTGGGCATTTTACGGATAATGTGTGCAGTTTCGTACAAAGTAATCTTTTGTAGCTCTAAGATGGGTTTATAATGAAATTTGTTTGGCCTTGAAAAATATCGCGTCATCTGTGATTGCATCAGATTTTTATCACGCCCACACACTATTTTCTCGACTGTCAATTAGTTATTACGCCCACACACTATTGTCTCGACTGTCGATTAGTTATTACGCCCACACACTATTGTCTCGACTGTCGATTAGTTATCACGCCCACACACTATTGTCTCGACTGTCGATTAGTTATTACGCCCACACACTATTGTCTCGACTGTCGATTAGCTATCACGCCCACACACTACTGTCTCAACTGTCGATTAGTTATTGTCAGGGCTATTGTCTGCGATGGACGTTGCTCCAAAGAAGCGTACAAAAATTGTAATTCTACACGAACACACTGGCAAGCCTTAACAGTGAGCAAATCAAAGTACCATAGACTGGCCCGGAAACTCTCCTGAATTAAATCCAATCGATAATTTGCAACGAACGACTTCGTGGAATAGACCTACGAAGTACTAACATGTGCACTGGGTTATTTTTCATTGGAAAAATACAAAAAAAAGTAAAAAAATAACGGAATTATTTGTTTTGTTTCAATCAATTCGCACAAGAGTGTATATTAGAAAATATATTTAGTTTAAATACAGGAGTTCATAAAAATGACTTCAAAGGGTGACACAATTCCAGCTTATACTCTTTTCCTGTTACCCAAGGAAAAAAAGTCTGCTTCGTCAGTCATGTATCGAAAGATATATGATGGCCTAAGCATGTATCACGTATGGCACATAACTGAATGACTCGGATATATCATATTTCCGGTTTTGCTGCCACATGATCTTCGAAAATCCCTAATCTTTACTTCCGCGTTACCCTTTGATCAATGTGGAAAGTAATCATCCGCTGGTCCATCAACCAAAAACAGTTGAGATCAAGATAAAACGACGTCTTCCACTTCTACGTGGATGTCCTACTATCACGGAATACTAAGGTGAAACCAACAGACTTCTAATAATACAGCTACAGAAATATCGAAAAGACGTTATTCGGAATGAGTAAATGAAATCAGGCATGGCTGATCATGTATGAAATAAAACCGCTGGTTACAAACCACTGTGGAATTAACTAAAAATATGATAGAGAAGAATACTAGAGAATCGGACGTCTGAAAGAAACATCCTAGATGATAATGGCCTCCTTAGTAAGACATAGCATAGTTTTATTATTTTATAATATGGAGTACCTGTAGATTTCTTTGTTTACTACCAGATCTCATATTGTCCACCAATAATCAATCCTGATAAGACTTCTAGTTCTGTTAATATCGTATCTCTGTAAAAGTTAAAGAAATCTGGTGAGAAGAGGCACCCTTGTCTTTTTTTATGCACTTAATTAATGTTCTGTCGGTTTGCTTCCGGTGCCTACAATTGCTGTCATGCTACCAACCCCACGTCTTTAGCGTAATAAAGAAGTTGCTGCTGGTAAGTTGGTATCCCCGGGACTAGGCTCCCGTCATAATATTCAGAGAATACGAAGAGAACGGCTAACATACTTTGATCTCATGCCGGGTAAATTCGTTTGGTTTTCTAAAGGTTTTTCTAGAAAGAAGTGTCGCGGAGTAACACTTCTAGGAAGAGCGTAAAGACAAGATCTTACCCCTAATCCATACGCAATTTTCGACAGGTAGTTTTGCGATTACAATTAATAAGAGGAATCAACAAAAATTAAAATTTGCACTTCATCAGTATCAGATTGTAGGTATAGATAAAAAGCAATGCGTATCTATTTATCTATCTATCTATCTATCTTGGTTTGTTCATATCTATCTTAATCTGTTCATATCTATCTATCTATCTATCTACCTTATTCTGTTCATATGTATCTATCTATCTATGTTAGTCTGTTCATATCTATCTATCTATCTATCTATCTATCTTGGTTTGTTCATATCTATCTTAATCTGTTCATATCTATCTATCTCTCTATCTACATATCAATCTATCTATCTATCTTATTTTGTTCATATGTATCTATCTATCTATGTTAGTCTGTTCATATCTATCTATCTATCTATCTATCTATCTATCTATCTATCTTAGTCCATATCTATCTATCTATCTATCTATCTATCTATCTATCTATCTATCTATCTATCTATCTTGGTTTGTTCATATCTATATATCTATGTATCTATCTATCTCAGTCTGTTCATATCTATCTATCTATCTATCTATCTATCTATCTATCTATCTATCTTAGTCTGTTCATATCTCTCTCTCTATCTATCTAAGTCCATATCTATCTATCTATCTATCTATCTTGGTTTGTTCATATCTATCTATCTATCTATCTATCTATCTATCTATCTATCTATCTATCTATCTCAGTCTGTTCATATCTATCTATCTATCTTCAGCGTTCTGGGTTTTACGATAAGCTGTATCCTGCATCAAGGCCTATAATCGACAGGTTTTGAGCAGCGTGGAACCACATCTTACTTTCTTTTGTATCTAGGTCCACCCTGACCTGTTGTGGTAGCACCAGTTAGGGTCCCGACTATGGAGAAGTATTAACCACCTAAACTAGGCTCAAAACACCATGAACGTATAAAAATATATTTTATAATAATAATACCAGCAATACTTTAAAAATATTAAGAGTTATACATTTTTAAAATATTACCTGCCATACATTTGACGCTCGACAAAAACCTTTTAAGATTACGTCGATGAAACCTGATCTAAAAACTGATTTCTTACAAAGAATACATATTCTATTCATATGAACGTATCCTAAAAATCTTATCGGCATTAAATAAACCATTGAGCTCTTAAAATGCCGTAAACCAAACCAGACCAGAGTTTCTACAAAATCCTCTTTAAAAAAATGTATCAATGAATCCTGACCTACAAACTGATTTCTTACAAAGAATATATATTCTGTTCATACGAACCTCGCCTAAAAATGTCCTCGGCATTAAATAATCCACTGAGGTGTTGATATGCCGTAAAACAAAATAAACCAATCAGTCTATTCATGTTTATCTATCTATCGATCTAGGTTTATTCATATCTAATTTTCTATCTCAGTGTGTTCATTCTCTCTCTCTCTCTCTAACTCTCTCTCTTTCTCTCTCTTTATTTCTCTCTCTCTCTCTCTCTCTATATATATATATATATATATATATATATATCAGTCTATTCATATCTTCCTCAGTCTATTCATCTCTCTCTCTCTACACACACACACATATATATATATATAAATACTTGTATCTATAAAAAAGAACGTTAAACATAAAAATGTCTTTAATAAATAAATTGTCGGACTTTTGTCCATTTCTTAATATATATATATATATATATATATATATATATATATATATATATATATAGTACGCGGGAAAAATTAAACTAAAACAATAGTCCACACACCAAAGTTAACTCCTGCGCTCTATATATCTCTGTCTGTTTGTCTTTCTCTCTGTTTCCTTCTCCCCCCTCTCTCTCTCTCACACACACACACACGCGAGATTGCGTTTGTTATTTTGCACGTTTATATCAAATCGAATCAGGACCCTTTTTCTGCTATAAAAGAAATAATCCTGGCGATCATTGATTAAATGCACGACTATGAGAAATCTTTCCCTGTAGATTTTGGAAACTCAGTCACTGTCTTCATTTTTGAATTGAGCAATGAAGAAATTCAGAGAAACGTGTGAATTGAGTGGACGCAAAAAAAAAGAGACGAATAATATATAATAAGGAAAGCGTTAAAATTGCTCTAGATTTACCGAATGATAAGACAATAGCTATTAACTCTCTTATATAAACCATTGTCAATTATTAATTTATGAATAGCATTTCTTTCTCAGATGAGTAATTGTCAATACTATGGGATTATTTTGAACTATTGTTCTCAACACGGTTAATATAGATGTTATTATACATACGACGTTTCAACCACGTACCCTCTGGTCATCATCAGGTGTCCATTTTTTGTTTGATATTTATCTTAATCATTTCAATCTAAGCAAGGCAATAAAGCCTCTAAGACTCAAGCGGTTACTGAGGGTTAGAGAATATGAAAAAAATATATACTATCAAGAAGACAAGACAACAAAAAAAAGGCCAAGAATTAAGAAGAAAAAAAAGTTATCGATTGATATTATACTTAAATTTTGCAGATCAAAGAATCCGGAAAAAAAGTTCTACAAGCGAGAATTTCCTGAGAAGAAATGGTTAGTATACAAAATACAGTTACATTTGACAATTTCAATGCTAAAATGATGAGAGCTTGCCATCCATTTAGTACTGCTTGTTGATAGGTTTAGGTTAATAGGCAGGCTTTAAGTTTTGGAATCTCACATTGCTAACAATTGTGGACAAGTATTTCATAAACTTTGTCAAATTTACTGGTCTATACTTTGAGAAAAATAAAAGACGATGCTTGCATCAGAACATTTGAAGAATGGGTCATTTTACAGAGGTGAACGACAGAAGTCGAAATATCAGGAATTCTTCAAGGCACCGTTTTCAGGATGAAGTAATTTCTGAATGAAGAACTTCAATGAATTAATCAAGACCAGAACAATTCACTGGAGTTTAAAACTGCCGAACAAATTAAAAGCAAATAAGAACTTTTTTTTTATTCTCACAATCCTTAGGGTAGGAACATAGGTTGAATATTTGTTCATGTATGCGACAGTTCAATCTGTTATAAGCCATGCGTGGTATCGCGATCATGTATCTTTCGATACATGACTGACGAAAAAATTTTTTCCAGCAGTAGGTTGCTATTTCTTTCTGCGGCAGACCCGTTGCCATCCAAAGCTGTAGAACCCGGTCTGTTCCTGGATGGGAGAAAAAAAGAGGATTCATACCTTTCCCAAGGGTATTAGCACGTAAGTGAATATAATGGATTGACTGGAATTCGAACTCGTCTCTCTGATTCCTTAATCCGATCTGCTCTACATTATTCCACCGTATATATCTGGAATGTGTTGAAAATGGATTTGATAAGAATATTAGTTGTATGAAAAAATATTTAGGGTGTTTTTCTAAGCTTCGCTTACGTGTGGTACAAGGCCGAAAATATAGGGTAGTTAGTAAAGATTGGTTTCACAATTTCAGTCATGACTAATATAACGAGACAAGCTTGTTAGCCATTACTCCAAGATGAAGTGCACAGATTTGCATACTTAATGGCTGTTACAATAAAAATAAGTTATGTTATGATCATGGGAAGTTAATTAAAACTCACTTAAATTTACATTTACTTGATTAGTTTCAGATAGTTGATTTTTCGGCTTCTTTCGGCTCGAAAAGTCATTGATATCTTGATAGAAGGAATGTAACAAGTGGGAGACAAGTTGAACGACCGAAAAGCTGTTTCGTAAATGACCTATATCAAGTGGATGTGGGCGCTCGTCCAGTTAATATAGGTACATCGACAGAAAAAGATAAAGTGGATGTGGGCACTCGACAACACAAAATTCAGTCTAATTAATATAGGTACATCGACAGAAAACGAGATGCCTAAGGTTTAAAATGAATTTTTTAAAATGAAAATCTTTCTTGTAGCTTTTATTTTAGTTTGAATTTCAAGGTAAGTGATTAAATTAAATAATTCCAATAAGCAAAATTCTTTTCTGCATCACAAATAAATAAATAGATAAAATTAAAACTAATTTAATTTGATTGGAAGGATTTTTTTTCTGATCAGCGCCATTTTTAGCTATCTTTAAGAAGACAGAAGGTAACGATTGACATTGCATTGAAATTTTTGAAGATCAAAGTTGACTGGAAAGTAAGAAGAGTGAAAGAGAATTAGATGACTTTATTGAGGGGAAAGGACAATAAAAGAAGAGGAATTAAGAAGACAGAAGATAACGATTGATATTGCATTGAAATTTTTGAAGATCAAAGTTGATTAAAAAGTAAGATGCCAGTATGGATGACTTTATTGAACTAGTTAAAGAAGTTAAGCGAAAGAAACGATTGACTTTTCAGCATAGAACTTAGATAAGATGCCGAGATGGATTGCACTAGTTAGAAGTGCGAAAAGAAGACGCACAGCATATATATATATATATATATATATATATATATATATATATATATATATATATATATATGGGGAAATAAATATTTGTACACTTGAAATACGGAAAAAACAAAACAAAAATCCTTAAATACGATTATGCTGTTTTAATGTTAATATGTCAACGTCTGACGTTTCGGTCTAATAAACCATATTCAGGACATATTCATAAATATAAGATTATCAATACAACATGACAAAGATGATGTACATAAGAACAAGACTTATCCAAACAAATAACTGAAAGTTTTATAAGATCAGCGCTCCCTTTAAAACATGGTCACGTTGTCGTCACGTGGGCGACGCTGTGAAAACGTATTCCTACAATTTTGAGTATTTTGAATGAAAAATGAAAAGAATTCTATTTTGAACTAAAATTTATATGTACGCTTGTCGAACATTAATCTCGCTGGAAAAGGAGAAATATTAAAGAAACCAGGTCTAGTATTCACCGTGCGTGAGATTGATATTATGCCTGCTTCATTTCAGTTATTTGTTTGGATAAGTCTTGTTCTAACGTACATCGTCTTTGTCATGTTGTATTGATAATGTTATATTTATGAATATGTCCTGAAGATGGTTTATTAGACCGAAACGTCAGACGTTGATATATTAACATTAAAACAGCATAATCGTATTTAAGGATTTTTGTTTTGTTTTTTCCGTATATATTTTTCTTCATATATATATATATATATATATATATATATATATATCGTTGAATGGATATCAGTTTGTGACCGTCCGTTTCACGCTTATGCGATCCTCAGACAAACTGATTAATTTTTTAAATTTGAGCCTATTTATATCAGTTTTTGTTTTAATATGTTTGATGTTGATGGAGTCTTAAATTCCGAGTGACGCTCATACGCACTGAGACATACATACATACCTTTGTAGGTATTGTGGTTCACACAAACACATACATATACATATATAAACAATGCGGAACCATGTATTCGAGCACGCAGATATACGAAATTCAATTCTAACCTTATTCCGATGTTGGGCCTTGGTGTATTCAAGTTTTTTCAACAACGAGAGTGTTGAGGGGGTCTGTTCAGTGTTCTTATCATCTTTCAGGTCGATCGACTATGTTGTCAGACGGAATAAGACTTCTTCACACACACATACACGCATGTATACTTGTATACGAAAATAAATACTTAATACTTCTATTTAATCGACAATCACAAAATACCACTAATAACATTACCATATTGTGTGATAATAGTAGATTCCATTGCTGTGAACGCAATCATAACTCGATGTTTACTTTTACTCAGCTGAACTTGCTTGGATACAAGTTGATTTCATTGATA